TAGGCTCATGTGTTTGAACAACTGGTCTCCTGCTGGTGGTGATGTGTGGAAAGGCTGTGGAACCTTCAGGAGGAGGAGCTAGGCTGGAGGAAGTGGGTCACTGGGAGTGGGCCTTGAGTGGAACTTCCTCTTTCTATCCAGTTTCTACTTCCTAACTGTGGATATAATATGACCAACATCCTTCTCCTGGCATCATGCTTTCCTCACTATGATGGATTATATTCCCACAAAGTGTAAACAGAAATAAGCCCACTTAAGGTGCTTCACATCAGGTATTTGGCCAGCACAAGAAAAGTAATTAATACAGACCTAAACATAATTGCATTCCTAAAATGCTGAAGCAATCAAGAGGGGATAAGAAAAGGACAAAGAAAAGAAAAGAGTCTGTCTGAGTCACTCAAAGACAAATGTGGCAAGATTTGTGCCAAGCCAGGGTTCCTAGGCAAAAACTGAAAGGAAGTCAAATACTGGGCTTTTAAGCTTCTGGAACAGATGTTTGCTCACATCTACTCAGGAAAAGTAAGTACATCAGCCTTTCAGCCTTTCTTATAAAGACTTTTCTTTTTTTAATGTTTTATTTATTATTTTTATTTTATGTGTATGGGTATACTGCCTGCCATGTACATATGTGGACCCATGTTGTACAATGTCCACACTGGCAGAGGCAGAAGAGGCTATCAGATCCCCTGGAATTGGAGTTATGGACAGTTGTTAGCTGCCATGTGGGTGCTGGGATTCGAACCCAGGTCTTCTGCAAGAAAAACCAGTGTTCTTAACTAACTGAACCATCTCTCCAACCCCTAAAGACTTTTCTTATAAAAACTTTTCAGTAGAAAAGTACACTGTAACTTCATAATTAATAAATAAAATAATATAATTGAGATGGTTTTCTGAAGCACTTAGTAAAATTGAAAACAAGGTCCATGGTACTTCTTAGAGCAGAATATAAAACTAGTTCAATGTAACAGGTTATATATATACAAATAAAATTAAATTCATCTCTACGTAACAAAATAAGTAACAGAGATATAGATAGCTACAAACAGAAATTTATCAAGAGGAATTAATATTAACTTTTAAATGGATTCATTCTATAGAAGAATGCATTCTAAGACTTAATTATAACACGTTTTATAAAATTTCTGGATCAGTGGGCAAATTTCTTTAAAAATGTAAACAACGACCTTACTAATTTTCTTTTTAAAGACATGTATTACTAAATGAAAAAAGTGTTTTAGAAAAAAAAAAAACAGTATCTATTTTCTTGGGAATTATTAGACTTTGAATAAAAAAACTAATGGCAAGTATACCCTATACATATGAGATTACTAATTATAATGACAGATATATTAAGATACTTCTTATTTTAAATATAAGAGATTTTCACTAGAAAATAATTTCATACAATCATTACTTCTGTACAAACAATTCTTTAACATATTTTAAAATATTGCTTTTAAGTGAAAATACAATAAAAAATGTTGCCTTTCCGTCTATAAATCTCTAAAATTAAGGAAATATGGCATCCAAATACATCAACCCAATACTGAATGAAAAAGTGAGAGCTAAAAATATTCTAAAAGGCATCCACTAAATATAAAAAATGTCTTCTGACTCTTCTATGTGATGGGTATATGTTACCCATCACATAGAAGAGTTAGAAGCTAAGCTAAGGGTATACATGAAATTATTTAATAGACAAATAGCATTAATTATAACTCTTCTGAATCTGTATAGTTTCTGGGGGTGGAAGTGCTTTCGTCTTTGTAGTTCCTGGTACTATCTAAAGGAGGAATATCTTTAATATGCAATAACAGTAAGTAACCATCAATAGTTATTTATACTACTACAGACACTGGAATACACATTTCTGAGACTGAAAATAGGGGGCTAGTAAGAGGGCTCAGTGGATTAAAGTGCTTGTCACCGGGGCTTGAGAGATGGCTCAGTGGTTAAGAAGATTAAATGTTCTTACAGAAGACCCAGGTTCAAATCCCAGCACCCACATGGCAGCTAACAACTGTCCATTACACCAGGCCCAGGGGATCCGACAGCCTCTTCTGTCCACCGCACGCATTACACAACACGATTGCACTTACCTACATGCGAGCAATACACACATACACATAAAATAAAAATAAATAATTTTTTTAATTTTTAATAAATACATGATTAGAAGAAGCATTTCACCATAAATTTAACATATTCAGTAACACACTCCAGAGAAAGAGTACATCTCTTTCAAAATTGGGTGCAAGTTTCTAGGTACACACTTGAATTAATACAGTTATACAATATTAAGCTCAGTATAAGCCCTGTATGACATAAAATTGAATGACTTTTTAACCTTTAAAAAAAGATCTCCATTTCATTTTAGAATATATTGTTCTTGCAGAAAGACTCATTGTTTTTGCTACTAACACTGAGATATTGGCACATGCATTTCTAATCTGTATGTATCTGATTATAACTAGTCATAATCGGTTCCACTCGGATCCTTGGCGCCTGTGTATGTCTATAAAGTCAACGGGTAGATTTCAATGGTAATGTTTATCACCTCTACTTATTAGCATGACATAAATTTCCATGCTTCCTCCTCAAATACATTTTTTTAATTTGTTGATTTGTGAGTGTGTGTGTGTGTGTGTGTGTGTGTGTGTGTGTGTGTATCACACAGAACATCCCAAACCATCTTATTCAACTATACACCCACTTCCCAGATGGCACCCTCCCATAGCCTCCGTCCTCACATTAGAGGCCTTATCCCTTTTACTGTCTACTGTATTGTTGGCACCCCCAGCCCATCCCCACTACTTGCCCTTCTGGTGAATCTAGACAGCCTATCGAGAGGTCTTTGTTTTAGGAGGGTCAGCTGTTCCTCATTTAGCTGCAATCAGTCATCAATATTCCTATAGATAAGATTGGGGTCTGCTGTTCATGTTCCCAGTTCTAGGCTGAGTTACTATCTGGGAGTCCCTTTGGCCACACTGGCATTGTTCCTTGTTACGTAGCCTTTAGCTATGCATATGGATGCTTATAGGCGTAGGAAAGGATTTTCTAAACCAGACATCAATTGCTTAGGAAACAAGGGCAAGAATTAACAAATGGGACCTCATTAAACTAAAAAGCTTCTGTACATCAAAGGAGACAACCAAGGAAGCAAACAGAAAACCCACAGAATAGGAGAAAAATCTTCACCAGCAACACATCCAACATATGATTTATGATGTTTATTGACTTATGTATATTGAACCATCCCTGCATCTCTGGGATAATGCCGACTTGATCATGGTGGATGATCTTTTTGATGTGTGTCTGTATGCGGTTTGTAAGTATTTTGTTGAGAATTTTTGCATCTATGTTCATTAAGGATATGGGTCTATAGTTTTCTGTTTTGGTTGTATCTTTACCTGGCTTTGGTAAAGAGTGATGCTGGCTTCATAGAAGGAATTTGGAAGTGCTCCCTCCATTTCTATCTATTTTTTCTGTGATTTTACATGTGCATTTCTTTTGAAGTTTCTGATTCTTGTATGAGACTCAAGTCTTCAAGTTTATGTCTGCTTCTTTTTGTAAACTTTATGTGTCTTTGTGGTTTGCTTTTTGGGCATAAAAAACTGATTCATCTAAGCTTCCAGTTCTCTCTTTTGATTTCATATTGGAGTGGCCAGATTGCTTTTGTCTTCAGGAGTTCCCACAGAGGCCCAAGTCAGATGAGGATCAGATGCTGTCTGGCTTTCTCCTAAGGTCTGGATCCCTCCAGGAAAGATTTTGGCCTCAGGAATTTGGGGATTGGACTGGCCTGGGAGCCATGTCGAGGAAAGATGCTGGTCTAGGGCAGCTGGTGGTCATGCCACCCAGAGATGCAAAGGAAGATGGGGGTGGGAAGTGGCCCCAAGGGCTCCTGGGGACTACAATGAGTAGCTGAGTTTGTCTGGATACAAAGGATCAGGAGAGGAAAGGTCAGCCCCAGTGTCCAGGAAAGAGGCTGGCAGGTCCTGCAGGCCCAGGGAAGTAGAGGGAGGTGAGGGCATGGCCAGGCACAGAGTGCTCTTGGGGACCCGAGAAGGAACTGAGTTGGTCTGCATGCCAAGGATCAGGAGGCAGTGGTGGTTCCCCTGGTGCCTGGGGTGCCAAGACAAGGAATGGGTTAGGACCCAGGCTAGGAGGAGAGACCAGCAGGGGAGATGGGAGGGTGAATGAGGCTGGGAGAGTCAAGGCACGGAGGGCGCATTCGACTTACCCCGGAGAGAGAGGCCTCCTGGTAGTGATAAGGAACTGAGTTGGTCTAGACGTGAAAGATCAGGGAGCAGTGGTGGTTCCCCATGTGTCTGGGGCACCAAGGCAAGGAATGGGACAGGACCCAGGCTAGGAGGAGAGATCGGCGGGGGAGATGGGAGGGTAAATGAGGCTGGGGGAGTCAAGGCGTGGAGGGCACAATCGACTTACCCCGGAGAGAGAGGCCTGCGGGTCGTGCAGGCCCAAGGAAGCAGAGGGAGGTGAGCAATAAATAAAATATTTTTTTTTAAAAAAAGAGTGTTTGCCACCAAACTTAAGGGCTAAGCTCAATCCCCAGTCCAAAATGGTGGAAGAAGATGACAGATGTGCACACACACAAAATTAATAACTGTAGTATTTTTTTAATGTTTGTTTGCTTTTGATCTTTTGGAGACAAGGTCTTCCTGTAGCCCCAGCAGTCCTGGACCTCACCATGTAGAACAGGCTGGCTTCAATCTCACAGAGACACTTGCCTCTGCCTCCCAAATGTTAGGATTAAAAGCATGCACCACAACACCTGTCCTAATAACTATAATATTTTTATATTGTTATTTAATTCTTTTTGAAAATAGAAGAATTTTCATTTCTTAGGTCTCAGTAAAAGAGAGCATGACTTTCTTGGATTTTGTATAAAATTAGCATATGAGCATAAGATAGATACATTTGGATTTTTTTCCATTCAGAAATTATGAAACAGAAATTAACACATTTTAACAAACACTTACCAGAGAGTGGGGAACCTGAGAAGTTTGCCATACAGGGCAGTGCTGAAAGATGGAATAATTGGTGTAGGTAAGCAGTAAGCTCCACTGCAATCCAAAGATGTCAGTCCTGCCTGGAAACCAAACACCTGAAACAACAGAAAAACAATAAAAAGTTGAGAGTTTTAGTAACCAGAGGATGAAATATGTCAGTATCAACAGCTGCACAATAAATATGTTGCAATTATTTTTTCTCTTTTTTTTTATTTTATGTGTATGAGTGTACTGCCTGCACATATGTGAGTGCACCCATGTAGTACAATCGAGGATGTCAGAAGACAGCTTTGGATTCCCCTGGAACTGGAGTTAAGGATGGTTCATAGCCACGATGTGGGTACTGGGACTCAAACCCAGGTCCTCTGCAAGAGCGGTCAGTGCTCTTTACCGCTGAGCCATCTCTCCAGCCCCATATGTCACTATGTTTAGTCCACTTTGAAAATGAAACACCTAGACAACATGTTTTTCTATTGCACATGGTTTGAAAATAGTTAAATTTCAACACTTTGAATTTAAAAGTAATCTGAAATGGTTGTCTTTAACTTGGTTTCTTCTTACATGACAAATATACAATTATTTAAGAACTTTAAAACACTGGATATAAACCACAGACCAACAGTGAGGAATCCATTTGTGAAGTCCTTTAAATCTTTTCATGAAATCATTTACACGAAACTCCGTGCTCAATGGTGGGGGGGGGGGCAAAATCTTGAATTTAGTATTTTACAATTTTCTTTGTTTGTAACATGAAATTGTATATGAGGTCTCTACTTACAAAGTAAACCTGGACTGGTGAGATGGCTCAGTGGGATAAAGGTCCTTATCACTAAGCCTGAGAACCTGAGTTTGAACCCTGAAACCTTCATGGTGGAAGTGTTGAATCAACTCTTGGAAACTATCCTCTGATCTCCACATGCACTCACACAAGTGGCAAGATTAGTGGCAAGTGCTTTACCTACACTGAGCCATCTCATCAGCCCTAGAATTATATTTTAAATAATTTTTCAACAGGGAGGCAGCTGGGAAGATGCTCAGGAGGTAAAGTATTTGATGCACAAGCACGAGGACCTGAGTTTGTGCCCCCAGCACCCATGTAAAAAGTCAAGCACAGTGGCACATGTCTGTTACCCCAACACAGGAGGATTCCCAAGGGCAAACTGGTCAGCCAGTCCAGTCGATGGAGGAAAACATCAAATGTTAACCTTTGCTCTACAGGCGCAGCAGGTGCGTGTACCCACATGGTTATATAGCAGGAGCACACATGTGAACACACACACACACACACACACACACACACACACAAACTTTAAGAACAAAGAAATTTATTTACTACTCCTAAAGTAAATAGATACTAAGAAACAGGAAAATTCAGTTTCCATACCTTAAGATAACAGTGTACATAGCAATAATGAAGGAGATTGTCAGAAGGCTGAGTAAGGTTGCTGACTACATGTACCAACTGTTCAGCATACATCGGGACAGAATGTTCCAGATTAATTTTATCCACCAATATCTGAATAGATGGTAAAGGTCGAAGAGACTGGAAGTTTGTAGTATTCATGAAGTTACTTGAGTTCTGGAAATAACAGTGTTAATTTTATTTATTTTTATTCATTTATTTACTTTTATTTATTTTAGAACGGCAACTATTGCACACATCCCTCTAAACATACTTAAGACTCCCATATTATACAGTGATAAATCTACTTAGAAATGCCTTTATCTAGAACTCTCATGCAATAATCAAATATGAATGTCTTCTATATTCCTGAAGAATACTTCAACTTTTAAAGAATGTATTTATGTCAAACTATTTTTGGTCTTTTGGCTAATGTTTTTTAATTTTTTAATCCAAAAGAACATTACCACTCCACATTTCCTTCATCATTCCAAAAAGTAAGTGAAAGTCACCAGTGTAAAAATCAAACAAATTATGCAGGAAGGAAAAATATCTAGTCCAAATCATATTTACTAACAATGCATATGTTAAAGCCACAAGAAAGTCCTAGAGAATTCAGAAAGCTTTGGCAGTCACCTTTCTGAGCTCCCAAACACGCACAGGTTAAGTTACAAGATAGCTCAAAATTGCATCCTAGGTGATAAGTACCTCTACCTTTCTGAGAACTAACCTTCCAAATGTCTTCTAACTTCAGTGAAGAACATCAAAAACTTCCATACAGAAGAATATGCAAATATGAGTTCCTTTGTTTTGTCCTATCTTACTTCAATGTCACAAACACTGCCATTCTGCAGTACTAGCCAAAGATAATCTATGCAACAAAGTTTTTCTCTAATCCAGAAAAAACAGTAATGAACATAAGGGTGAATGCAGCACCCTTATTGTTTATGGATCATTAATCATTTTAAAGCTGTTCCCCTGCCAGCCATGGACACAGAAAGGCTCCAATTCCTTCACCTCAGATCCCTGAACTAGCTTCCTAACCCAGACTAGCTAAACACCCTAACATAGATTGCTAAATCCCTACTCAGGTGGTACCCCCTCCCCCATCTTCCCTGGCTCTGGATGAGACACAGACCTGCCTAATCAGAACTCTAGTAGTCAGATTCTGCCCACCATGTCTCTATTCCATTCCTCTCATCCACCCCTACCGTGTCCCCTGCCAGCCTTAGGCTGAGGCAGGCTCCAATTCCTTCATCTCAGATCCCAAACTAGCTTCCTAACCCAGACTAGCAAAAAAGCCTACCACGACCGCTAAATCCCTACTCAGGGGGTCCCCAAACCGAAATCTTCCCTGCCTCTCCTCTGCCCACAATCAGTCTGACAAACCTGCCCAGTGCATACTCTGGTAAGTCAGATCCTGCCCACTGCATCTTTATTCCATTCCTCTCTCCCACCCCCACCCTATCCCCCACCATCCTTTGACCTAGGCAGACTCCAGTTCCTTCACAAGAACAAACCAACCCCAAACTTAGCAGACAAGAAGAAATAACAAAAATCAGAGCAGAAATTAATGAAATAGAAACAAAGAAAACAATACAAAAAAATCGTTGCATCTAAGATCTGGTTCTTTGACAGACCCTTAGGCCAGTTAACCAAAAGAAAAAGAGTAAATCCAAATCAACAAAATCAGACACAAAAGGGGAACCATCACAAAAGGCACCCAAAAATCCAGAAAATTGTATGGGAATACATTAAAAATCTATACTCCACTAAATTTGAAAATCTAAAAGAAATGGATGAATTCAACACCAAAATGGATGAACAGCACCAAAATCAAACCAAGACGAGAACAACAACCTAAGCAGACCTATAAAAAATAAGGAAATTGAAACAGTAATACAAAACTTCCTGACTAAAGAAAGCCCAAGCCCAAATGGATTCTCAGTAGAATTCTACCAGACAGTCAAAGATCTACAATCAAAGTTCTTAAATTATTCAAAAAGATAGAAACAGAGGGAGAACTCCCAAATTCCTTCTATGAAGCCAGTGCTACTCTAATACCAAAACCAGGTAAAGAGACAGCAAACAAAACTATAGACCCATATCTTTAATGAACATAGATGCAAAGATATCCAACAAAATACTCACGAACCGCATATAAACATACAAAAAAAGATCATCCACTATGATCAAAAAGGCTTTATCCCAGAGATGCAGGCATAGTTCAATATATGTATGTCAATAAATGTAATAAAACATATAAATAGACTGAAAGACAAAAACCACATGGTCATCTCAATAAATGCAGAAAAAGCCTTTGACAAAATCCAACATGCGTTTATATTAAAAGTCCTACAAGGAACTGATCTGGAAGGAACTGATCTGGAGGGAACATACCTCAGCATAATTAAACTTATATACAACAAACCCACAGCCAACAACATTCTAAATGGAAAAAAACTGGAAGCATTCCCATTAAAATCAGGAACCTGACAGGGCTGTCCATTATGTCCACTCCTTTTCAATATAGTGCTCAAAACTCTTGAAAGAGAAGTGAGACAAGAGAAGGAAATTAAAGGCATACAAATTGGAAAAGAAGAGGTCAAATGATCTCTATTTGCGGATGATATGATATTATACATGCAAGATCCCAAAATTCCACTAGAAAATTGTAAAAAATGATTATTACTGTCAGAAAAGTTGTAGGTTACAAAATCAACTTAAAAAAATCAGTAGCCTTTCTATAAACCAATAACAAGCAATCAGAAAAAGCATTTGGTGAAACCCTCCTATTCATAGTAACTTCAAAAATATATTTAGGGAAAACCTAACTAAAGATATTAAAGAGCTCTACAATGAAAATTTCAAATCGCTAAAGAAAGAGATAGAGGTAGACACTAGGAGATGGAAAGACCTACCATGGTCATGGATTGGTAGAATCAATATTGTGAAAATGACCATCTTACCAAAAGCAATTTAGATTCAATGCAATCCCAATCAAAATACCCACATATTCTCTGCACAGTTTGAAAAAAATCATCCTAAAATTCATCAGATATCACAAATGACCCCAGATAGCCACAGCACTGTTGAACAAAAAGAATAATGCTGGGAGAATCCCAATACCAGGTCTCAGATTATATTACAGAACTATAGTCATAAAAACGACATGGTACTAGCACAACAATAGACATGTAGATCAATGGAACATAACAGAAGTCCCAAACATGAGTACATGGAATTTAAGCCATCCGATATTCAATAATCTTGCCAAGAACACACAACAGAGGAAAGACAGCATCTTCAACAAATGGTGCTGGAAAAACTGGATGTCCACCTGCAGAAGAATGAAATTGGAGCCTTATCTTTCACCCTACACAAAAGTCAACTCCAAATTGATCAATGACCTCAATATAAAACTGAAACTGCTAGAAGAAAACATAGGAAGTACCCTCCAAGATATAGATATAGGAAAGGGCTTTCTAAATCGGATACCAGCTGTGCCAGCATTAAGGTCAACAATCAATAAGTCGGACCTCATTAAGCTACAAAACTTCTGTGCAGCAAGAGACAACCAAGGAAGGGAAGAGGAAACTCACTGAGTGGGAGAAAATCTTTACCACCTACACACCCAACAGAGGATTAATAGCCAGAATATACAAAGAACTCAAAAAACAGAGAAATAAGAAAATAATAACCCAATAAAAAGATTGGCTATAGACCTCAACAAAGAGCTCTCAAACAAAGAAATAAAAATGGCAAAGAAGGTCCCACAGGCCTCTCTCTCTGAGGAGCACTGCTTCTGGGCCTGGCCCTGCCCTCACCTCCCTCCGCTTACTGGGGCCTGCAGGACCCTTAGGCCTCTCTCCTCCCCAAAGGCCTCTCTCTTTGGCCCTCCGCCTTGACCCCTCCAGCCTCATTCACCCTCCCATCTCCCCTGTGGGTCTCTCCTCCTAGCCTGGGTGGGTCCTGTCCCATTCCTTGTCTTGGCGCCACATACACCTGGGGAGCCACCACTGATTCCTGATCCTTTGCATCCAAACCAACGCAGTGCCTTCTCTGGAGCCCAGGAGCACTGCTTCTGGACCTGGCCCCGCCCTCACCTCCCTCTGCTTTCCTGGGCCTGCAGAACTTGCAGGCCTCTATCCAACCCGCAGGCCTCTCTACGGGGTAAGTCCATCGCAGAGATCTTTTTGAAAGGTTAAAACCTCATTTAATTTTATGTCTTATAGGGTTTATACTGAGTAAAATACTATATAACTGTAACAATTCAACTGTAAACCTCAAAATTTACAGCCAATTTTGAAAAAGATGCATCTTAGCTCAGAAAATTGTTATTGAATATGTCAATGCAGTTGTAATGAAATGCTTCTTCTAAGTATGTGGTTATTAGTTTTTTAAAAATCTGAAAAAAAATACAAATATAAAAAAAAGTCAAAGAAGTACCTTAAAAAGTGCTCAACAATCTTAGTAATTAGAGAAATGCAGATTAAAACCACTTTAAGATTCCATGTTACTCCAGTCAGAGAACAAAAGACTCCAAATGCTGAAGAGGATGTTGAGAAAAAAGAACACTCACTCACTCTTAGTAGGAATGCAAACTGGTGAAACCACTATGGAAAGCAGTGTGGCTAACTCTCAAAAAAACTGAAAATGAACCTACCATATGATCTAGTGATACCACTCCTTGGTATATACCAGACGGACTCATCCTACTGTACAGATACCTGTATATCCAGGTTTGTTGCTGATCTCTTCACAATAGCTAAGAAATGGAAACAACCTAAATGTCCCTCACCTGATAAATGGATAATGAAAATGTGGTACATTTATACAATGAAGATCTACTCAGCAGTAAGATGAAGCTATGAAATTTGCAGGTAAATGGATAGAAGTTGAGAGTGTTAGACTAAGTGAAGAAACACAAAAGCACAAAAGCAAGCAACATATGTTCTCCCTCATTTGGAGATTATAGCATCAATCCCTTATATGTGAGTACATACATTCTGATTTAACACCAGGAGTCAGAAAAATGGAAAGGATACATGGAGGTAAAGAAAAAGAAAGACTCTGAGAGGAGGATATTAGGGAACAGATGTTACCAGGTGGTAGGTGGGGAAACTGGGAGCGTTTGGCCAGGAGGAGAGGAGGGAGAGATATGCAAGGAGCCAAGC